TTAATATTTGAAATGCTAGTAAAAAATAAATCAATATCTCCACTTAAGTCATTACCCGTGGACAGCATACGATGCAATAGAGACTGACAGTAAATTTGTTCTTGGAGTCGGAAGAATGAATGTGCAGCTATACCTAGAATTGATTCTAAGTACAACAAAGTTAAGCTGAGCACAAAGAGCAGGGCATTTAATTAAATGGTGTACTATTTTGTAAATGAAAATTATTGAATATACAGGGTGTTAGCTAAAGAGGGTGCTGCAAACCAAGTAGGATTTCTCAGGAAAGATGACGAAACCTATACGAAAACCTTCGAGGAAACATTAACAATGCTCACAGAAGTACACTTTCCGGCCGCAGAAATTTTGCTAGACCCGATAGTAGCATACAGCCCTCAAAGAAGGTCTCGTAGGCCAACTCCTTTGGAATGGAGGCTAGCTACAGAAATATCGAGGCCGAACAAAATTAGATGGGCTACAAACAAATTTCAATCATACAAATCCCCAGGAGTAGATGGAATATATCCCATTCTACTACAAAAGGGACAGGAAATTCTAATTCCACATATGTGTCGCATATTTAAAGCATGTATAGCCTGGCGACACATACCAAAGGCGTGGCAAAAGGTGAAAGTCATATACCTCCCTAAAGTAGGAAGGTTTAATGACATGACGCCCTAGTTGTACCGCCCAATCAGTCTATCGTCATTCATGCTGAAAACGCTAGAAAGACTAATAGATAGATATATACGAGACGAAATACTGAGAGAAAATCCTCTCAGCGACCGTCAATATGCATATCAGCCAGGAAAGTCAACCGATTTGGCCTTGAATGATCTTAACAGGCTATTGTCAAAATCCCTGGAGGATAAAGAAATGGCAGTAGCAACTTTCGTAGATATTGAGGGAGCTTTTAGTAATGCTCAAACAAGATCTATAATTAACGCATTAGCAATAAAACAGGTACCAGTAGTCCTATGTCAGTGGATAAAAGCCAGCCTAGAAGAAAGGGTAATAATATCATCTCTAGGCAAAGCTACATTGACAGCTAAAGCAGGCAGGGGCTGCCCCCAGGGAGGAGTACTATCACCCCTTCTCTGGTCAGTCCTAGTGGATGAACTTATAAAAAGGCTAATATCTGCAGATTTTTACTGCCTAGGGTAAGCCGATGACCTGGCGATCGTCGTAAGAGGCAAGTTCGCAGGTACAATATCGGAGCGCACACAAACCGCTCTAAACATTGTCGACGAGTGGTGCAGAGAGGAGGAACTAACAGTAAACCCTCACAAAACCACAATAGTCAACTTTACAAAACGAAAAGTACCAACAGGACTAAAGTCACCAGTACTGAAAGGAGTGAAGATTCCATTCACTCAAGAGGCCAAATACTTGGGAGTCATCTTTGACCACAGGTTAACATGGAATCAACACTTGCAAAAAGTCACCCAAAAGAGCACAACGTCCTTCAACTTATATCGAAGGCTGTGTGGAAAAAATTGGGGATTACAACCAAAAATGTCCCTGTGGGTATATACCAGAGTCATAAGGCCGATGATAACCTACGGGTCGGTGGTTTGGTGGCCAAAGACTCGGCAAGCTGGAGCCATTCGACAGCTCAATAGTATTCAAAGGCAAGCATGCCTGAGTACCACGGGAGCTATGAGAATGACTCAAACAGCAGCTATAGAAGTCATGCTAAACCTAACACCACTACATATATTCATTCAAGGCGAAGCCAGGTCTGTCACATACAGACTGCACAACGGTTCATCGCCCATAAGCAGTTTGCATGGACGCGACTACAGCGAGCTATATAAAGAGTTGGAGAACGACCAAATAATGGGAATGCCTTCAGACGAAATGCTTCCAAAGTATAGCTTTCAAAAGCAATATAAAGTAAGTATACCAGACAGGAAAGCGTGGACGGGATGACCTCCTATTCACGCAGATCTCACCTGGTATACAGACGGCTCCAAAACCCATGAAGGTTCAGGAGTAGGTATATATAGTACCAAGCCAAAGAGGAATCTCACTGAGCTTAGGTAAATATGCGACAGTATTCCAGGCAGAAATAGCAGCAATACATCACTGCGCAAAAGAAGTATTAAGACAGAAGGTAAATGGAAAAGCCATTGTCATATACTCAGACAGTCAAGCGACGTTAGAAGCACTCAGTTCCATGCAGGTACACTCAAAGCTTGTGTGGGACTGTTTGGAAGCCCTAACAGAGCTGGGTAGTCAAAACAGACTAACCTTAGCCTGGGTACCAGGCCACAGGGGACACAAAGGCAATGAAGAGGCTGATTTACTAGCCCGAGAAGGAGCTTCAAATGCTCTTATTGGCCCAGAACCCTTCTGTGGTGTAACGAAAACAACTATTAGAACATGCACAAAGCAGTGGATGTTTAAAAAATCTCAGGAGTGGTGGGAAAACTCACCAGAACAGAGACAGGCCAAAAAGTTCTTAAAGGGACCATCGTCTAAACTCACCGAGCATCTACTAAGCCTTAATAGGAAAAATACTAGAATACTAGTAGGTCTATTAACAGGGCATTGTAGGCTTAACAAACATATGTTCAATATCGGTCTAACAGAAGAGGCCTTGTGCCGATTCTGTCAAGAAGAAGAGGAAACGGCAGAACACGTATTGTGCTACTGCGAAGGTCTAGTAAGACTGAGATTCCTTACACTTGGAGAAGAAAAACCAAGACCAACTAGCTATACCGGAGAACTACTTCCCAGTCTATGGAGTCTACTACAAAAGACCGCATTAGAGAGGGTACTCTAAACAATGATTAAAGGATATCCACAATAGATCTGAAAAGGTCGAGGTGGAGGAGGCCACATGGCCCATAGTCCTAATTAAATCTAATCTAATCTAAGGGGGGATTAACATTTACAGGGATGTCTAAAAATGAGTCTCTAAAATAGTTGGCAAAAGCAGATGCAATAGCGACTCTAGTTTCTAATTTAATGCCATTATAACACATATTGGCTGGTAGTGAGTTACATTTCTTTTTGGATTTATTTTTAGTTCAGCTTCGACGTGGGCCAGATAGTTTTGATGGGAGAGTCATTATCAGCTTTAAAAACAGACCGCAAATGTCTGTATTTATTAAGATCATCATCACCTTTCGTTTTTTTTGTATTTTTTCCAAGCTTTATTTTTTAAATTCAGCTTGTGAATTAAAGGACCAGTAAACCAGATGGGGTATGTTTTATAACAAGGTTTCTTCTTTGGTACATGTTGATCAAGAACAATATATAATTGGTCATAAAATAGGCTCAGAGCTTTATCAACGTGTGAAATGTTACGTAAAAATGTCCAGTCGACCAATAATATGTCTCTATAAAGGGCAACAAAGTTTGCTTTTCTAAAGTTATAAGCGAATGCGTTAAATACTGGAGTTTTAATAGTAGAGTTTTTATAGCAATATTAGTATATGATCTTTTGCTTCCAGTTGGAATATCGTTTTTGGTAATGATTTCAAACATTTGTAACACATGTTTTAATATTATCGGTGTTTGTATCTGAGGTAGATTTAACGGTATTTTGGATAGCATTCTAGAGTTCTTTCACCTTGTTATGATTTGCAGAACATTTTTAAAAATTCAAAACATATCATTGAATTTGGAAAAAATCCACCTTCTTCCTTTTTAACTAAATTTAAAAGATTATCATTCGAGAGATTATTATGCAGGGTTTTTACATTAGCACCCATGTTAACAATATTCTCTTTCAATTCTTCACATTTTCTGTAACAACCATATCAAATATATACCAGATTTTTTTTAAAACTTTATACTCAGATTCAGTTAATTTAAGACAAGAATAATGGAACCAGTTACCACAGGAACTTGCACATCCGACAAGATCTTCATTATATATTATACTTTTGTGGAAATAAAATGTATTTTGCGCAGGTCCATACATTCTGGGTCGTTCATAGGCCTTCTGCCGTCTTTGTGCAGGCATAAAATTCCGCCATAATAAATTATAGCATTTTTGAAGACAACTTGAAAATCGGAAACTGTTAAACAATTAATTTAAGTCTTCCTAAAGAAAGAGCAACTTTGCAAAACAATTTACTAAAACACTGCTCCTCATTTTTTTTTTTTTTTGGGAGACTACTCAGATGCATAGATACATTTTGTTATCCTACGAAATATATATGCAGTTTCTACAAAAGCCGGCGCTTTCAGATCTTTACAGTGACCAGTAGATCATGTGAATTTTCAATTAAATTGCATGATTCGTTATAGGATTTGATGTGTGCCCGTTTTAACAGGAATTTATTTTCTGATGATATGACATCCAGATTATAAATCGCCATGCGTTACATCTTGATGATGGTGGGTGAGGTGAGTGAGTTTTCGTCACCCGTAAATCAAATGACAATCATCTTTAAGTCGCCCCGGAGCGCCACGGCAAATACTAATAATTTTTGTCCCTTTTCACACAAGCTCAGCAGGCTTCAGGGGTTGAAATTCACTCGTAAGGCCGTGAATTATGGAGAGTATCATTATTATTAATATATTATATTAGATTGCATTACTCAACCTTTTTTTCTTTCGGGCCACATAAATCTGTTTGTGATGCTACACGGGCCATAAACATACTTTTTTTTCTTTCTGGAATAACTTTTTCTAAAAAAAAAGGTCGTCACATTAAAAAAAAAATTTTTCTCCCCTACTTGAATTACTCTTTCTAAAAAAAAAAGCTTCGAGGGCCGCACAAAACAGCTTGGAGGGCCACAGGTTAAGTATGGCTGTATTAGAGGCTTAGAGGCACATAACTAACCCTCCTAATTTCATTTTTATTACAGGGTTTTATGATAGAAGAAGGTAAATTGGTGTAAATTATAAACAAACAATAACAAAAGAAGAATAAAATCACTCAAAATGTAAATCGATTTGGGCAGAAACCATTAAATTTATTACATTACATTTTCTATCTTAAAACGATACAAAATATACATACATAATTACAGAAGCCATTTTAAACATTTGTGAAATACATATTTTTATATCTTTTATATATCATATCAATATTTTTGCGACTAATTCGGAGATGATTTTTTTGACAAAGCACTAAAGGTCAATAAAGTTTAAACATGTTGAAACAATCGTGGAACGAGAATAACCACTTTTTAAAGTACGACCTAACTTTCTGTATAATGAAAACAATTACTAGAACCATATTTATATTTTTTTTTATCTGTGTTTAATATATTTGAGAATAAAAGTAGTAGTGATTAGATGTTTTCATGGAAGGGATATTCTGGATGGTCGATTATGCTAAAACAAAAAACAATCTAGTTACAATACTATTTTAAAATTTTAAGTAGCTTATTTGTGTTGTGAAACCGAATAAAATTTTCTCAAGGACATCAACTTACTTAGCAGCTACAAACGTCATATTGAATATTTTTGCTTTCTTTCCCTTGTCGAGGGTTTCCAATGTTTTCATATCGTCTTCATCGAGAACAAAATCAAATATATCGATATTTTCCTTTATTCTTTTTGGATTCGTACTTTTTGGAATGGCTACAAGACCAGACTGAATTATAAACCTTAAAGCAACCTGGGCGTTGGATTTTTTGTGCTTCTGAGCTATCTTGGTCACGACTTCATCATGGAGAATGTCCGGCAGTTTAACTTGCCTGAAAACAAACTTATTTTTAATATTTTTGATTAATTGTGTAACAAATTAAAATAAGTTAATTCAGTTTTGAAAACAAATACCGATGTAAATTCAATAAAAAAATGGCGAACGGAAAATGTCAGAATCAATAGTGATAAAGAAAATATATTTTATTTTTATAGTTGTTGTTTATCATCCTGTATAAATAAAATTTATTGATTTTATCAGAATAATAAAATTGTAAATCTATATACAAAATGGAAAGCTTTTATTAATTGTTAAACGCACTGCTAAAAGGTTATGGGCCCAGTGTGAAAAGTACAGTGTAAATAAGAAGAAGGAAGAAAACTGAATTTATAAAATTCCAAAATTTTAATTATACTGAAGGGCATGACAGATTTGACAAGATTAAAATTTGCATAACTAAATGGACAAAACTACCAAATGTGGAAGTACAAAATGACAATGCTTCTAATGAAAGGTGAGGTGTGGGATGTAGTCCATGAAGAAAACCCAACCCAGTAACCGATGAATGGACTAAAATGGACAGAAAAGCCAGATCAACAATAGGACTCTTAATAGAGGATAATCAAGTGATACACGTACGAAATTCACAATCTGCAAAAGAAGCATGAGACTCACTGAAACATTGTTACGAGAAACCGTCACTGACAAGTAAAGTTTATCTCTTGAAAAGGATTTGAAGAATGAGGACTTAAGAAACTGGTGACATGGAAATACATATAAATGTAATGTTGGATTTGGTGCATCAACTTCGAACTCTAGGAGACGAAATAGCGGATCATCTGGTAGTAGCTTTTTTATTATGCAGTTTGCCTAAAAGTTATGATTCTTTAGTCACCGCTTTAGAAAGTAGAGATGAAAATAGTATTACTGTAGATGTAAAAGAAATATTATTGCAAGAATTTAGGAAGCGAAAAGAAAATCAAGAACATATCGCGTACGAAGAAAAAGTTTTGAAGGTGAAACATTTTCGAAAAAAATCTAGTATGTCACTATTGTAATAAACAAGGTCATTTAAAAAAGGAGTGTTATTTTCTAAAAGGGAAATTTCAGAAAAATAAAACTCATATGGTAAATCAGGTAAAAGAGAATGAAGAAAATGAAAATGATGGTAATCATAATGACGGAAATAATACTTCTGATGAAGTGAGTTTTAATGTAAGTAATTTTTGTAAATCTACAACTGATTGGAATATTTGAAAAATGTTCTTCTCATGTAACCCAAGATGTTTATTAAGAAAACGGCAAAAGACTAGAAGTACGAGGTATAGGAGAAGGAAAGTTAAACTGTATTGTAAATAATAAAGTAATGAAAATAACCATAAAAGATGTAATTTTTGTACCTCAATTAGAAACTTGATTAATTTCAGTAAGACGTTTAGTAAACCAAGGTTATAACGTTGATTTTAATAATGACTGCTGTAAAATAACGAAAAATTGACAAATATTTGCCATTGCAATACCTATAGCTAATCTGTATAAATTACAGATATCTCAGATAGCTAATTCCGTATGGGACAGACGATTCGGACATCGTGATCTACAAATTGTCAAGAGAATGGTAGAAAATAAGTTAATGCCAGGACTCTTCTTGAAGAATTGCATCGAAAAATAACATGTAAAAGCTGTATAAGAGGTAAATTAGTAAAATCATCATTTCCTGACGCATCTTTAAGTAAATCTAAGAACATTCTGGATTTGGTGCATTCGGACGTATGCGGCCCAATGCAAACTGTAACTCCAGGTCGAAAAAGGTACGTAATGACAATGATAAATGATTATAGTTGGTTCACTAAGATATATTTACTTAAAAATTAAGATAAAGTAGCTGAAAAAATTAAGGAATATATAAGAGAAGTAGCAACTCAATTTAATTGAAAACCAAAGATAATAAGGTCGGATAGAGGAGGGGAATATATAGGAAATAAAACAAAATAAAATTCAAAAAGGGAAGGTATAGTTTTCCAGTATACTGCTCCTTAATCGCCACAGCAAAACGGCGAAGCAGAACGTAAAAATAGGTCTCTACTCGAAATGGAAAGATGCATACTCATAGACACTAATCTTGATAATTAATTCTGGGGTGAAGTAGTATCAACTGCACATTATCTTCAGAACAGAATTTGGATTAAGTCAATTGATGATATTCCTTTTAAAAGATTTACTGGAAAATACTCAAAACTAAACTGTTTAAGAGTTTTTGGAAGTACTGTATATACGTTGATACCTAAAGTAAAATTAAGAAAACTTGATGAAAGAGCTAAAATGTATGTTTTAGTAGGTTATAAAGAAACCTCAAAAGCATATAGATTACTGGACAAATCTACTTGTAAAATTGTTATCAGTAGGGATGTTAGATTCTTGGAAAATGAACATGAACATTTTTCAGGAAGTTTAGCTCATAATCACAAGGAAAGTAATGCTGAGGAAGTTGAAGTTATTTTTAAAAATGTAATAGACGAGAGACTAGAAAGTTCTAGCGCAGAATCTACTTCACATGATACTGAACAATTAAATGAACCGAAAACCTACACTGAGATAATGTCAAGACCAGATAAAGAAAGATGGAAGACTGCGATGGATGAGAAAATCAAATCAATGATTGTTAGTTGTAAATGGATTTTCAAAACTAAAAATAATGTGGAAAAGAAGCTAAATAAATATAAGGCCAGGATCGTTGCAAAAGGATACTCACAAAAATATGGAGATGACTACAATGAAGTATTTGCTCCAGTACTTAAGCATGCAACCTTAAGACTTCTACTTATTATAGCAGGAAACCAAAATATGTTTGTAAAACATTTCGATGTTAAAACAGTTTTTTTTAACGGGGATTTAAGTGAAGAAATGTACATGAAGCAACCAAAAGGGTATATAAAAAAAGGAGAAGAAGTTCTAGTATGTCTCTATTTTACTAAAAGAAATAAAATGTCTGTATTAATATTTGCAGGTGAGATCATTGTGGCTAGTAAGAATCAACAGATGATAATTGAATTTGCTCAAAACCTCATTCAAAAATTTGACATTTACTCTCTAGGTGACCTAAGTTATTACTTAAGCAAAAAAAAATAGAAAGAAACAAAACAGGAATTTTTATTTTATTCTGAGTAGACGTGTAAATGAACCAAGAGAATTAGATTGGATAGAAATTAAAAGAATTTTAAGATATTTAACTAAAGACTTGAAAATGAAGCTAGGAGGCGAAAATGGCAAAGTGAATCAGTTAATTGGATATGCTGATGCCGACTGGGGAGGTGATAAATCAGACAAAAAATCTAATACAGGTTATTTATATATCAAGGGGGTCTGATCATTTGGCGAAGCAGAAAACAAGAAGTGGTGTCCCTCTCATCGACTAAGGTAGAAATTATATCGCTCTTAGAATCATGTCAGGAAGCAATGTGGCTAAAATAATTATTAAAAGATTTCAGGCAAAGCAATCTGCAAATGAAAATTTTTGAAGACAACCACAGCTGTCTTAAGCTACTTGATTCGGAGAAGATAAACGACAAAACAAAGCATATTAAAATAAAGTTTTATTACGCTGAGGAACTGAAGAATGAAAAGAAAATTAGTTTTGAATGTTGTCCATCAGAAGATATGATCGCTGATGTTTTGACTAAACCATTGGACGTACAGAAGTTTACAAGGTTTAGAAAATTGTTAAATTTATTTTCTTGATCACCATTGAGGAGGTGTGTTAGAATCAATAGTGATATTGAAAATATATTTTATTTTTATATTTATTGTTTATCATCCTGTATAAATAAAAATTATTTATTTTATCAGAATAATAAAACTGTCTTGTCAGAAATAAAATCTATATACATAACGAGAAGCCTTTATTAATAGTAAAACGCACTGCTTAAAGAAAAATTATCAAAAATCAAAGCGTCAAAAGGTTAAATGTTACTGTGGATAATCATTTTTATTCAAATATATTAAAAATAAGTAATTATTTTAATTTGTTTAATTATTAAAATGGTTTGAAGATGAAATTATGTAACCCCTTAAACTAGTATTTTAAAACATATGTAGATTGTTTCTAGTTAAGTAAGTAATATTGATTAGAAAGTTATACCAAAATAAAAAGAATTGAAAAAGTTACTGCTCTTTATGAGTTCTGTTACTAGTTGTTATGTTGGAAATAGGGTGCTAATACACTGCGATTTTAAAGATCTATTGTGCCCCCTTCTGCCACTAATACAGTAAGGAAATATATAGATGCCTATACAGACCCTTACAAACCTATTTTTTCCAGAAAGTGTAAGATTTGGAGTAGCTTCAAGTTAGGTAAATCTCCCTCTTCTATTTGATATGCTCCTAGGTATAGTTCCCTTGGATTCTGGAGTGAATGGAGGTTTCATCATTCTCCTCACAGAATCTGCAATCAATATCTTCTACTACTCCTTTGAGTCGGCAATGCCCGGTAAGGATCGTTGATACAATGCGTAGCCTATTACTAGTTAACATTAATGTACTGGGACATTTTTGTATAGGTTGAAAGTCATCGCTGTTTTTAAACCTGGCAAATATGGTAGATATTGAAGCAATCCAAATTTAAAATCTTATTGAAATGATAAAAAAGTACTTAAAATTTATATTTGTAAAGATAATCTTAACTTCCTAAGTCTAAAATGTATATACATCTAAATTTGAAAGATAAAAAGAGCTTCCATTAAAGATCGGAAGCATCTATTTCTTACTAAAGAGTCCTAATAAGGATGAAACCGGTCAAAGAATAATATTTTCCTAAGCAAAATCAAAGCAAAAGTATTGAAAATTATCATTTCTGTATCCATTGTTTTTGTCTAGTTATAATGCAATGCCTGTTTAAGCATATAGCCAAAGAAGTAGTTATTTTTAGCAGGAATCGCTCGACAGATTTCTATAACACAAACTTTGAGATTTTCTTCCCTATTTACATGTTGATCTCATTTGAGTTTGAAATTATTTTCCTTTAGAAAGAATTATACTTACGTCCGATTTTCACTTTCAAAATATTTATTAAGACCTGGGGCACCCAAGGGAGAATACGCCACCACCGTTATGTTGTTTTTATTAGCAAAATCACGTAATTCCTTTTGCTGGAAGTACAAATTTAGTTCGACTTGAACATTGGCTGGTTGAATTTTGGCAATTTTTTGGATTCTTTCAATTTGCGATATATTGAAATTGGAAATGCCAATCGTTTTCGCTTTGCCCGCCTCTACTTGTTCTTCCATTTTCTAAAAAGAAACAAAATAGTTTTCAGTTTTTTTTTTAGTGTTTTATATGGTTTTTCTAATTATTTTTCAAGGGTTTAACATAAAACGTTTAATACATGTTTTGGGGACTTTCTAAGATTATCCCGCTTGTTTCTATTGTTTTTTTTTATTGCTTGTTTCTATTGTTTGTTTTCATTGTGTGTTTCTATTGTTTGTTTCTGTTATATGTTTTTATTGTTTGTTTCTATTGTTTGTCTCTATTTTTTGTTTCTATTGTTTGTTTCTGTTATATGTTTTTATTGTTTGTTTCTATTGATTGTTTCTATTGTTTGTTTATTTCGATTGTGTAGTTTTATTTAATTTTCTGATAATTAGGAATATTTTTGATCCACAGTTTATGTATTACCCTCGAGTTTTTCTATTTTGTAGATATTTGTGATTTTTTCTGAATGTTTTTCTGAATATTTTCCTTCTTCTATATTTTTTTATACGATTAAAAAATACTAACAATTGATTTTGCCATAATTTTTTTGTTTTTATGTCACAAAATATATAATTTTTTTGTGTTTCTGGGGTAAATTTCTTATGTATGTAAATTTCTTAGGTTCTATTTTTAAGGTTTGTTCGGGTTTTGTAGGAATTTTTTCCAAGTGCTATTAGTTTTTTATTAGCCGCTTTTTAAAGAACGGTTTTCATGTAAATATTTAACATACAAAATATTCTAATAATGTTATTTTATTATTTTTTATGGTTTTTATAGGTATTTTCGAAAGTTTTACATGAAACCCCTGATAAAGGTTTTTTAAGTAATTATTGATGGCAAATTTCTGAGATTCTATTGTTTATTTTAAATTGTATTTAGTCTATAAATGATTATAATTATTTTGGTTTTTTTTCGTTTATTATTATTTTCTACTTTCTAATTTTTTTGTTTTTCTATAAAGTATATACAGGTTGAAAACATGGGCCATCGCTCGTGGGGAGATTTTTAACACAAATAGTTACAACATGCATTATTTCAAAGATATAGGGTAGTATAATAGGTAAAAAAATTTAAGGAAAAATATACTAGATTTTTACGGATTTATTTTGAGCTTAATATTTTACAGTTCAATAAAATTTCATCTCTTAAACGAAGTCAAAATCCAAAAACATATTTTTTTTATTCTATAAATATTAAAGTGAGGAAGTCAGTGTCGTACCTACATATTAATAAAAAATTATTATTGCGCTCGTTCGCACGTCCGCGCTTGGTAAACATGCTTACATACTTTTATTGCTAACATATACACTTTTTAAGGTTTATTGTACAACTACAATTTTATTCAAATCGTTGGGTTGGCTCAGTGGTTAGAGTCATAACGTTTAGATCGAAGGGTCTTAGGTTCGAATCTAGCCAGTGGGAGGATTTTTATGTAATTTAATAAATTAAATATGAATTCTAATGCTTAGGTAAGATTCCATACTCGACCATTCACTGTTGGGTTTTTATTAACAGTACTGTTCCTAAAGTGGGAAACAGTAATAAAGCCTACGCCGAAGTAGTGGAATGTTACTCATCGCCCTACAGTGTGTTGCGGTCGTTATAAGTAAAAGTACAAGTAAAAGAAGATAGAATAGTCTAGAAATGTCTCGAAATGTCATTCCTTGTCAAAGAAAAGTCGGGATTCTTCGAGAAGGTTCTAGAAGGTAGAGGCAAGCTATATAAGTCGACGACCTGACGTCAGTTGGCAGTTTTATGATAGACGTTATACGTGAATGTTACCAATTGGATAGTTATTGTTAAAGTTGAATTGAGTTATTGTAAAGTTGAATTTAAATAAATTGTGATACCAAAAACCTGTGTAACATTATGTACTTGTATTTAGATTTACCTCATAAAAATATATTACAAGGAAGTTATTATTTGTCCAACATTCAAAAACCTATTTAACAAAAAATAGAAGTTTGGATTAAAACCATTCCAAGACAACAAATTTATACTCATGACAATAATAAATATTGGTACCTAATTAGAAGAAATTAAATTAAAGTATGCAATTGTCTTCTTAGTTTTACTAGTCCTAACTACCTACACTCGTTATTTTATACCGTTTTTGAATTGGTATCTGATAGTATTTTACATAATATAATGTCTGTAAAAGGTCTTTACAAAAACATACTACATATTCCTTAGACCAAAATAAGTCGATTTGAGTAAAATTACCTTAGTACAAAGTTGCTTCGTTTGGGCTCCAGAGGGCCTTGAAGTTACAATTTTTAAATCGTTTTTCCCATATAAATTTAAAACGGCATATGCGATTTTACTGAAATTTGGTATATTGGTAGAGTTTTATGTGGCAAAAAAAATGGTATTAAAATTTTGTCCGATAATAATACATAGGCGTAGAACTTGATTTTTTAAATAATTGCACCTTTAAAAATTCTACGCCAATGGCAAAAAAGGGGTTTGAGTGTGAAATTTGGATTGGTACTCATTAACTACAAAAAAGTACCCTTGATAACACTCGATTTACTCTCATGGTTTTCACAAAGTTTGTATTTTAATAATTATTTTTTATGTTCTAAAATTACTAAAATGCAAATTTCGTCAAAACCATGACAGTAATCGAGTCTTATCAAGAGTACCTTTTTTAAAGTAAATGAGTTACGCAATCTAAATTTCATACTCAAACTCCTTTTGTTCCATTGGCGTAGAATTTTTAAAGGTGCAATTATTTAAAAATCAAGTTCTACGCCTATGTATTATTATCGGACAAAATTTTAATACCTATTTTTTTGCCACATAAAACTCTACCAATGTACCAAATTTCAGCAAAATCGCATATGCCGTTTTAAATTTATATGGGAAGAACCATTTAAAAATTGTAACTTCAAGGCCCTCTGGAGCCCAAACGAAGCAACTTTGTACTAAGGTAATTTTACTTAAATCGACTTATTATGGTCTAAGGAATATGTGGTATGTTTTTGTAAAGACCTTTTACAGACACCCTGTATAATTTTAAAAATACATATCTATTTAGATAAGATAGATAGATAGATAAGATTCCGCACACAAACTTTGTTTAGGCGGGTCTTAAAAAATGTAAATTATTTTAATGAATAAATTTGATTTGATTTGATTTGATTTATGCCCATGCACAGAATTGACCTTATGTGGATTTAATGATAATTTTAATAGTAATCTGTAAAAGTTTAGATTGATAAATATATTATTTCCTACCTTCCATACTCCAAGCAAATCAGTTGGTTGAGTGACAAATTTTCCGTCTTCAACTGTAGTAGCAACCGGAAAATGTATCAAGTACAAATCAACATAATCCAACTGGAGCCTTTCCAAAGACGAATTCAAGGCAGCCTCAACTCGGTCAGGAAATACATCCACAGTTGCCAGTTTGGTCGTGATGAATAAATCTTCTCTTTTCAATTTTCCTGACGAAATCCATTCTTTTAGGACTTTTCCGATTATGTGCTCGTTGTGGTACCGCTCAGCGGTGTCGATGTGACGGTAACCGATCTCTAGGGCTTCGTTCAAACCGTTTGTTAGTTCTGTTTCGTTAGTCACCTGAAAATTAACAATAATTGTTTAGAAAAATTAGTAAAGGACCGGTAGACGAATATCTCATAAATTAGGGACTTTAAGGAAGATTCAGGAAGGAAAATAAAAAATATTGAGTGGGTAGGTGATGCACCGGGATAAATAGTGACTATTAGGTTATTTGTTTTTAAATTGTTTGTTTTATTTATTTTTTGTTTTTACACTAGTCAGAAAATTGTGTTAAATTTTGTAGTTTATTAAATATGTTCATTTTCTACACTTACGTGAACATTTTCTTCTCAAGGTACAGAATGGATATGTGGGGCTATACCAGTCTGAACGGATATGATTTTCTATCCATTCTAGAATGCTGTTGGAACCCACCAATCACAGTTCATATTTAGTACCTCGCAAACTATTTTTTTGTTTTTAAATTAGTGGGAATTCTCTCAAACTATCTGTCAGTTTATTTTTTTATAGTAATCGGTAAAATAATATTAAAAATAAGTAAATCTTGTAAACAATTGATAAATAATGGCGATCCTCAAGGTGTTCGCTATATTTACAAATAAACCTTTAATCATTATTAATATTTAATTATCAAGTCAAAGTTACTGTGTGCCTCATTATTGCAGAGCTCCCAAGAGATGCGAAAGGTCCAGGATTCAAATCCACTCAATAATTATTTTTTTAAAGTTTATTTTATAAATGAAACTTTTTTTGAACGCAGACGAAGAGGAACTGGGAAGTGAAAAGTGAAACAGAGTGGATCAGAGTGAAAAACGCCAATAACAGAAAAGCTAGCAATTCGCCAGAGGTGCTAACTGATCAGGTTAATAACAAACCACAAATTAAACACATTAAACCTTCTCCATTTATAATTAACAAACCAAAAACATGTATTGTCAAACAGAATACAATATCAAGCCACCAGCGTATCTGGAGATGATTTGAAAATCAATGTAGATGATTTGAAAATCAATGTAGATGATTTGAAAATCAATGTAGATGATTTAAAAATCAATGTAGATGATGAAACTACATATAGATTTCTTACACAAGCACTGAACAATAATGAAATGGAAGGGTTTTCATCTGAAAATAAAGAGTCAAGATCAATAAAGGTAGTTGTGAATAAATTGCATCAGTATTGTCAACCAGAGCAAATCAAAGAAGACCTAAGAACTAAAGAATTCAAAATACTTGAAGTAAATCAGCTACTGAGCAAAAAAGATAAAAGATCGCTCCCACTCTTCATTCTAGCCTTTAACAGAGACGTCAAAAACATTTATGGGATCAAGGAAATACTTTATTTGAGGGTGCAAGTAGAAGCCTATGAAACACTTCCACTATTGCCCCAGTCAATAATATTGGCATACTCAAAACTACTGTAAAAGAGAACCGAGATTTGTCAAATGTGCTGGAAAACAATCAACCCAAGATTGTAAAAAATCAGTAAGTACATCACTAAGTGTATACACTGTGAAAGGGAATACCAAGCAATTATAGTGATTGCATCACAGTAATGAGCCACAATCGACCCATCTGGGTCGCAGTGGAATGCGATGAGATCCATCCCATTCATTTTCAACCTAATCTAACCTAGTCGGCAATGCCCAGTAAAGATCCCTGTTGCAATACGTTGCTTGTTCTTGCTCAGGCAGATGCAGGTTCAGATCTATTCTGGTTACAATCACCCAGAAGTATCTTAGCCTGTCTTAGCCCCAAGATATTGTTCCAATTATCGATTCTTTCTACTGCCCAATTCTCTTTTATTCTTTCCTTATATTATGTTATTGCTGATACCGCTGGAAAACAATCAACCCCACATTGTAAAAAAACAATAAGTACAACAATAAGTGCATACACTGTGGAAGGGAGTACTCAGCAATTATTGAGGTTGCACCACTGTAAAAGCTCTTCAGAGCATAGGAAACAACATTACAAATCAGAAAGGCATGCTACAGTCAACCAAGTGAACCAAGAAAATCTAGAGAAAACTGTAAAAAGGCAACAAAAATTAATGGAGGATTATGACTAAGAACTAAGTAATGAAATACAACCGACAGTAGAGAGCAGTACTGATTTTATAACTTTAATGCTACAGAAAATAATGAATGAATTGGATAAACAGGAAGAGTTCAATAAAAAAGTTCTAGAAACTAGAAAATAATAATAAAAGACTATAAAACTCAAAATGACTCCATACCTTAGGATTCTCTTACAACACCAGCAAGAGTTATTAGTGTCCTTAGAGGCACAACATGTGGATATATGCCTGATAGCAGAAACACATTTCACAAAACATACTCAAATTAAAAGAATATCAGATATATAATGTCATTCATCCTATTCACCCAAACAATTCTTCCCGAGCTGAAGCTTTTATTTTTATTAAAAATAACATAACACACAGTGCGAAGAAAAAGTGAAACTGAAGAAATACAAGCTGTTAGCATACAAAAAAATATGTTCAAGACTTACTATGACTAAAAGAAAAGAACTGAACCAGGCTATCAAAGATCAGAAATGTAGGAAGGCTTACATAGCGATGTGAACAAAATACCGGACGTCCTGGACTATTTTGTTTCCAGAAATATTGCAGCAAATTTTATAAAATTAGAAAATGTCGAAGAACTACTTTCTGATCACTACCCAATACTTCTAACAATAAGTGAAAATATTATCAGTAGAGAACGCAGTCTCACACTGACGAACAAACATACAGACTGGGAAAGATTTCAACTTGAACTTAGTGAAAAAGTGAATTAAATAAAGAACAATAAAGACGGTGAAAGATTTGGATACAGAAACATGTTTTTTATGGTTAATATCCAACAAACTGCATGGAATAATACACCATTAATACAAAGAAAACCCATAGGCATTAATTACCGTAAAGAAATAAGGGGTTTAATATAAACTGAAGAGAACAAAAACAAAGTAAATAGACTAACAGAACAGCTATAAAGAGATATAGAAAAAATAGCCCTGGCAACCCTTCCTTTAAAGCTATTTCTGATGCATATTTATTTATTATTACATTACTTAACAGGTTAAGACCCACATACGAAGTAAGAGTACAAGAATATATAAATACAATTAATTTAGAAATAATTTATACCAATGAATTGAAGAACAGGTCAGAAAAAACAATTATTTTTTAGCATTTCATGAATATACGCAAAACTAAAGATTTCAGAGAACATTCTTATAGAAATAACACCTAATATTATGAAATTGAACAATTTGAGCTGTAGGATATAGACAGATCTCATATATTCTTTCTCCTCATTACATTTTTTTATCATTTGTTGACAGAAACTGGTATTTTTTGTCGATTTCAAAAAAGAGGAGGTTCTCAATTCGTCGTAATATTTTTTTTTTATGTATGTTCACCGATAATTCTTTAACACGGTGTCCGATTTCAATCATTCTTTTTTTATTAGAAAGGGGGTACTGTAGGGGTGGTCCCATATAAATTTGGTCAAAATCTAATAATTGGGTTCATGAGAAAATCCTCAAACTCTTCATTTTTATGTATGTTTATCAGTAATTCTTTACCACCTTGTCTGATTTCTACGATTCTTTTTTTGTTAGGAAGGGGGTACCTCAGGGGTGGTTCAATATAAATATGATTAAGATGTAGTGATGGTATCTGCACGATTTTGAAGTCGGTTTTATAATTACTTTTAATATAAATTATTATGTATTGTGCTAATAATTAATGATTAATTATTGAGATACAATAAGATCTGACAAACTGTAAATTGTAAACTGTGTTGGTATATGTTACGTCAAGCGACCATCAGCATCTTTGGTTATATTGATTACAATAGTTCCCAAAGGTTTTTTTGATGATGTGATATGATCTTCTGCAATAATGACGTTTCTCTACAGGTTTGGTTAAAAAGTAAAAGACATTGAATGTCATTAATGTATACAGGACTAGTCGAAATATGAATTACGTTTTATTTATATACAGTAGAACTCCAATTATCCGAACTCCGACTATCCGAATCGCCGATTATCCGAATCAAAATCAAAACAGCTTACATTGACGGAGATGTTTAAAAAACAATGATTTTTATTTCTAAACTTGTACATAAGTACATTTTATTTATATTTAAAACATGTGAAAATTTCATGTTTCTTTCATTTAATTCAATAAAAAAATAGTGCAATATCAAAACGTAGCTTTTATTCTCTCCAATGGCAATTTTTTTAAAAAAAATCCGATTATCCGAATATTTGATTATCCGAATGGGTCCCGGTCCCCATTAATTCGGATAATTGGAGTTCTACTGTACAATAGAACTCTGTCAAAATATATTTTTCCTACGACCACATATCACACTATATAGTCCTATGGAAAGTGCCCTATATCACACGCGTATGAATAAGAATTTACTTTCCACCCGAGTTAGAATATGCTACTTTCCGCAGTAGTTGTCACAAAATGTCAAACACCTAATTTCTATTTTGATCTATGTAATGTCCATATTAATACTAAAATCGATATGATTGTTAAATTGTTGTAAATTAGATCCTAGATATTTATCTTTAACAATTATTATTAAAATAATTTTAAAATAATGTTTGCTCTTTATTCTGGTTAAATACATAACCGATTAGATCATTCAATTGACACAAGGGCTATTAGCTCAGGTGGTTAGGACGTCGAACTTATCAACTTTGCCATTTTTCGACCGCGTTCAAATCCTGGCGGGGCAGAATTTTTTTGTTTGTTTTTTTTATTTTTTTTTAGTTTTTTTTTTTGTTTAGAAAATATGAAAATTGAATAAATACTATTATCGTTGATTATTTTTTTAAATACTTTTTAATTATTATAGTAATAATAACCTTGGTTTTACATTTTATGATGACATTATTTTGTGGTCGTAGGAAAAATATTGTACATCACTTGTGTGAAAAGTGATTTTCCACACTCGTAATGTAATATACTATTTTTTACACCCACATGGACATTAGCTTATCTACGCACATATTAAAAAACGAAAAAGTAT